TGTTTTGTTGTTACATGAACTTTTTCCTCAATGTAAGAAATTGAATCATCTTTTGACCTTAGCTTTAGCTGTTTTCATGGGTAGGGTTGGGTGATTCGCTTCTTCAGTTTAAGACATGTGAGTTGTTGCAACTACTCTTTTGTTGAACAGTTTATGACTTTTGTCTTTTCCACTTTCCGTAAAGAGGTCCCAAAGAATTTTGCTTTAGTTTTTGGAGGGAATTTTAACTTTCTTTTCTCTCACTTTTTCCTGTACTTTCAAACATTATGTGCTAACACAGTAAGTAGATGATGTTGTCTTTAACGATTCCCGTATACTTAAGTTTTCATCACATTTCAGTACATTGCAAATTATATAGACTGCTTCAATCTCTACTCTTATAGGTAAGAAACTGTTCAAAGAATTGCTTTTGTTGGGTTTCAGTCTTTCATATGAAGTTACCAGATCATTTGACCAGTTAATACTCTTCTGGTAAGAATGGAAAGAAGATTACAGTATAAATGTTCGAGAAGCTTATCGCTTGAAAAGCTTTACATATCACATTGGCAATTGCAAAAAGGTATTCAGCTTTCAAAAGACCAATAGGCCATGGCGAATCATGCGTAGTCAGGCATTGCTTTCTTGAGGAATGTTATTGGCTGGGATTCTTCAGGGGCTAACCGGTCAAAAGGAATGTAGTTCTCCTCTTTGTCATAGACATGGCATATAGTCATTATTGTCTTCATCAAGCGCCAGTTCCACGTAGCCAAGTTTGTATACTGCAACACCACACAAGAAGAAACCCAACAATCTTTTAGTGTCTTACAAACACAACTGTCATGATATAAGGCTTTATGGTATAAGAAAGTGGCTATTACCTTTCCCCAGTTCTCTTGTATAGAATCGTGAGCTGCACGGAGATTGTAGCTCGGTATTCTTGGGCTGATATGATGTGGAATGTGGACGTTAATGTCATGGCAGAGAATTTCAATCCTGTCACAACGCAGAAACATCGATGAATATGGAAATCAAACAAAATGCTCTCAAACTCAGATAATACCAACTTAACCAGTTGAGCAGGTGGAGATGATTACCAACTAGGGTAATCACAGTGAACAGTTCCGTTAAGCTGGGCCTGAGCTGCGTTCCACTCATCCGCAGGCTTGAAAGGAATGTGTGGTGCCGTATGATGAACCATCGTGAACGTGCTCATCTACAGAGAAACAATAATGCATAACCATTTTGGCTTCTAATGAGGGAATCGGGAAAACCAGAAAATAAGAGAGAGAGGCATTTACCCAGAAGTGATAGCCCAACCACGGCATCAACCAGAATTTTACCCATCCCAATATACCAACTTTGTATATAATCAGTGGCCACCCAACGGCCATGAAGGCGAAAACACAAGCCAAACTTATCTTCACCCTATTCACTTCGCTCGCTCTGAACTTTTTCAGATTGAAGTGCCAGTTCACCCTATTAGAACGCTTACGATCGTTAAGTAAACAGGTATAAGAGAACAAATTGATCACTGCGTAAGAGTAAAAGCTTAATCTATTTATACCAGTGGGCTATGGACAACCAAGGCCTAATTGGACCATATCCAAAAATGATTGCCTTTCGCAGAACGGGTGATGAATCAAACTCCTCTGGTGGAACTGGTTGCCAAGCTGTGTCATGAACTAACCTATATAGAACAAAGCAGTATAACGACTTCTCATCTCACATTCTATTGTCGATATATCTGTCACAGTCAAAGTAAGACATACATGTTGGTTTTGGCGTGATGACGGTCATGCTTAAACCGCCATGGCTCATACGGGTAGACAAGTGGTAGGAAGGCTAGAGTACCCACAATGTCTTCCACCAATTTGTTCTTTGAAAATGATTTATGAGCACAATCATGACCTATCACAAAGAACTAGAGAGAGAGAAATCCAGTTAGACAACACAGAAACAAGGCGACAAAGAGAAGAGACAGTGGACGATAGCTTACCCCGGTGATTGCAGTTCCTGTCCATGCCCAAGCCAACGGAAGCAGATACCACGGCGACTTTGCAATCATAAAGAGCCCCAAAGTGTAGGAAGTTACAGATATCAACACAGACTTCCAAGCTTTCACATCATCAATCTCAAACACCTGAAGAAGAACCATAATCCAAAGAATGAGTAAGAAGAAAGAAGAAGTTCCAAGGTAATCACGCACACGACGCTTATTGAAAAAAAGCTATACCTCTTTAGGAAGTGTATCCATGATATCTTTTAAGGTGACATTACCAGGAAGATCCTCTCCAATTTGTTTGAATCCATAGCTATCAGCTAATTGTTCTCTCTCTTCTGCACTGTCAGCTGAAGGCGGTGCGACTGGAACAGCCACCGCTTTTATACATCCAATCCTTCTTTTCACAGGAACTACACATCTTCTTCTTCGATGCGTACTTCCTTTTAACAAAAGATCAATCGGTCTCACAGCATACACACCTGCATGCATCCACACAATAGCAACATTAGCCTCTGATTCATTCAAACAATGCCACAAGAACATAATGCATTCATCCTGATTGAAATCCGAAGAACACAAACGAAACCCTTGTAGCAAAGACAAGAACTTTACAGAGCAAGAAAAACATATAAAGTCCCAAACTTCAGCACCAATTTCTAGCAAAAGGAATCACTTGTTGTTGTCATTAATCAAAATCTAAATTTGGGTTCTCAGAAACAGCTGTCTTCGTTCAATGGAAACTCCATAAGGGTGCACAAGTTAACTCGAACCTCCCATTTCAATTTCATGTAGAAATTTGAGGAGAAAAGAAAAGAGAGGGTTTTGAGGAGAGATAAGAGTACCAGGAGAAACACGAGCAGAAGCAAGCTTAGGAACCCTGGGAAGACATTGTTGTGGACCCTGAGAAAACAAACAAATTCAGTATGGGAAACTCAACTTAGAAGAGATGGGCGATAGAGAAGAGTGCGAAAAAAGAAGTCTTTCTTGTTTGTGAGAGAGTACCGTGAAGGCGAAGAGAGAATCAGCAATTCTGGAAGCCATGGACGAACAAATTGAAGAAGGAAGAAGCGAAGCGAGTTGGGTTACTCTGCAAATTGTATTTTATGGGATTGAATGGCTGTGAGGAGCCCTTCACCTCTTCAAGTTCATAACAAATTGGACTTCCACAATTTTAAGTTGGG